CGTGTGTGTCAGAGTAGAACTGTGCCCACAGGGTTCTCAGCAGAAGATTTTTCATAAGTAGATTCCACTCACGGTGCCCCATGTGTGTGTCAGAGTAGAACTGTGCTCACAGGGTCCTTAGTAGATGATTTTTCATAAGTAGATCCCACTCATGATGCCCCATGTGTGTCAGAGTAGAACTGTGCCCCACAGGGTTCTCAGTGGATGAGTTTTCATAAGTAGATCCCACTCATGGTGTCTCTGTGTGTGTGTGGCAGAGTAGAACTGTGCTCACAGGGTTCGCAGTGGATGATTTTTCATAAGTAGATCCCACTCATGGTGCCCCGTGTGTGTATCAGAGTAGAACTGTACCCACAGGGTTCTCAGTGGATGATTTTTCATAAGTAGATTCCACACATGGTGCCCCCCAGTGTTTTGGTGTAGTTTTCGGAAGTAGATCTCCAGAGCCTCCTTCTGAGTTATATCACTGTTGACTAGAACCCCGTGCTAAGTACTCTACACCATGTACAAATTATTTAGCAGTCAAGTGCTGACAAAGGAACTCCATTTAGTGAAGTAGTCTGAGCTCTAAATCAATGCCTCCTACAGATGGTTTATGATGCTGGAGAGCGTATTGAAGCAAATAGCTCTGAATCCATTTCCCAAAAAGCTAACCAAGTGGCCCAAAGGTCCCACTGAACGTAAAGGTTAACTTCTAACCACCCTTCCCAAAGCTTTCTGTGTCCACGCTATACCCTGTTCCCAGCTCCACCTCAGTAAACATGAGGCAGGTGCTCCGGGGAAAACTCTGCATAATACACATCACATCACAGTAAATAAAATGACGTGACAGGTTACCATGTGTGTAAAGGCCACATCAGATCTCTGCACGGCTTTCGACAGAACACAAAGGGACAGCTAATGACAGCAGATTAAATACACTTCTTGTAACCAATTCCATGAAATGTTTGTATGGAACTCTAGTCTCTTCTTGGGAGACCAGCAAAGGGTCTGGTTTCCTTCCCTGGACTTAGACACCCTGGCCAGAACTATCTGATGTCCCTGCCTGCATTGTCTCCAGCCCTCCCTTCTGCTTTGGTTCCCCCCCAGAGCTCCAGGGACACCCCTGCCCAGATGGACACCACTTTCCCGTCGCTCTGTTGGCGTGGTTTGAATCCCCAGCATCTGAGTCTTGTAAGGAAGAGCCCGAGGTGGCTGGCTGGGCTCCAGTTGGCAGGCTGGACCCGGCCTGGTTCCTGGTACACCAGAACATCTCTTCATACTCTCCACCTCTCTGCTCACAGCCAGGCAGAGGTTCAGGTGCAATGTGCCCCCTCTCCAGGACCCTGGGGCCTCGGGGACTCTCCTGACCCTTAGGTGACATGTTCCAGCCCCAGTTCTGGTTCTGGGATTGGATACATGGCTCCCTGAGCACCCTACTGCTGCCCAGACACGTCCTCTGGATCCTGAGTGGAGGCACCCAGTTTCTCTTCCAGCCTGGCCGTGACCCCGCTGGCCTCACAATGAGCCGCACCCACAACCTAACTACAACGTACACAACTAGATGCCAAATGACATCAAAGGAAGCTAATCTTGCCATCTCTGCCACACACCTGCACCCTCCTCCCCAGGGCCCTGCCCCGAGGTAACTGGTCTCCCTCTACTGGCTAGCTGGCTCTGCTTTCAGCTTCCGTTTCCAGGGCTACCCTCTCAATCACTGCTGCGCCCCAGCTCTCGATCCAGCCCTTCCTCTTCCTCCCCCAGCCCCTCCATACACAGGCTTCAGAAGAGACCTGATCCACAGCTTCCCTAGCCTGGGCGCCCTAGGCCCTGCCAACTGCTAGCTGCTTTTGTCTGAGATTTACCCAGCCTGGAGTGGGGAGGTCCCCAGGGGTGAATTTCCCGACTACAGAGGT